GGCTGCATTCACTCACAGGAAGCCTAAGAAAGGAGTCCTGCCCATGGTGGAGTTTGAACCCAGCAGGGAGGAGGCGGAGCATCTGGTGGGCCAGGCCAGGTGGGTACTGCAGGAGAAGCACTAAGGGATGTCTGGTATGACAGACCCTATGAAGTTGTAAGTGTGGATACCACAACACCTCACAGCTCTGAGGGGCTCCCAGGCAGTCACATCTCAGATATAAATGTTTCCATTCTGTTTGGAGTACAGGATTCAGGAAAATAACACCTACCAACATCTCCTAAAGCTAAGTTTTGAGAGTCTATGTTCTTGATCATCCTACTCTTCAATAACAGTTCATCAAATACATCAGGCAACATCTATTTGGGGTAGGGAGGGCTCTGGTTATCCAGGCTTCAATACAGGAGACAGCAGCATCAGAGAGAGGATACATTCTTCTATTACTTCTCCTCTTCCACGTCCTTTCCTGTGCCTGATTCCTCTGTCTCCCTCATTCTGGGGTTGCTTGGACTGAGCTTCAGTTCAGTACCTCATGCATACTGGACAACAGTTATACCACTGAACTACAACCCAGTTACCTTCTAATCTTATAGAACAAATTTTCTTCTAACCCCGACTGACCAAGTCTGGTACTCTCAGGTAGGCTAAGACTTTCACTGACGTAGGAATTCATGTAGATCTTCAGGCACGAACAGCCCTGAGACATGAGGGTTGGAGGTAGGGTCAAATTCAAAATATTCAGACCCTCTGCTTTCATTTTGTAGACACCTGGTCACCATAGCAGAATGTTATCCCAGGGCCTGTGCTGTGGTCAAAACCACACCCTGAGTTCTGATTTATTCCAAACCACACTTACACTTCACTGTTATTCATGCCCCATTCTTGCAAGATCCTTGTCTAAAATGTCTGTAAACTGAGGCACAGGCCACAAGTGCAGGAGAACCTGGGATGAAAGTCAGAGTTGCATAGAATCCTCTAGGTTGTCAAGGGCCTTGGATTCCACTCCTTCTGTAACTGAGATATGCTCACCCAGGTATTTCTAGAACCATTGGCAGCAACTACTGACATTCACCAATGATCCCTGTACACATTCATGTTGGAAAAGAAGAAGCACCCACACAGATGCCACATGAATAAATGGAGGTGAGTTTTGCACAGATGAACAGGGAGTCCCCCTTCCAAAGTCCAGAGCCATGTCGAACCTCACCTCTCTAATATAAAATGCTACACCGTTACTTTGGTCAATGGCACTGTGCTGGTGTGGGAATAGGAATCAAGGAGGACAGGGTCTTCAAGACTGTATGAATGTGGGCCTCCTTCAGCTTTTTTTAGAAACTTTAGAAGCTTTAGAAAAAAGCTATATGCTTTTTTCTAAATAACATGGTGATACTTTCTGGGAAACCCATGAGCCTGACCAGCTCTTCCACCCTCTCCAGCATGTTTACTGTTAGAATACCTCCAACGTGGAGGATCACTGTGTGTGGAGTTAGATTAGGGAACCACTGCAAACCGGCCCGGAATCAGAACTTCACCCCACTCTAGGGCCGACTTAGCTCCAGGAAAGCTGACATGGCATGGTGGGAGGTCTCATCCCTTCTCTCACTTCTGGGTTCTGGTGCCAAAGAGGGCACACACCATGGCAGACCTAATGGAGGATTAGGAAGTGGAATTCCCAGGAATATGTGGACTCCCATATCAGTGCCCTTTAAATGAATGACGCACTCCCGCATCTTCTAGTAATGTATGCCCCAGATCGGACTGCAGGGCCCTGGAAAATGCACATCAGGGCTAGCTCTGTGCAATCAGCTGCCTCCCATGCTGTGGGTGCTGCCAGCTCCTTGCCATCTTCAGCTCAGCATTGTCATGAGACCCTTATCTACAAATGCTCTCGTCAAGTACTTCCTGGTTATCCCCCGTTGCTGAGCCTGTCTCCAACCTATGCCAACAGGCCCACTCAGGCCAACAGGCCCACTCAAAATCCTTAATACTTGGCACCGTCGCGCAAGCCGAGGAGCATCCAGTAGAGGGGTTCGTACACAGAGCGTGAAAATCTTCTTTTGTACTAACTTTATCAGGTTCAAAAAGGCACAGGAAGGAATGTGAAGATCAATGGAAAAGTCTCCTCTCCTCAAGGATCTCATGGTTATTTTATTGCAGAAAAGCAGGGTGTCCCATGACATAAAGAAAACATCCTCCATGCAAGGAACGGTACTATCAGGAGAGATAGAAATAAATTGGTCATTGTAACTGCATAAAATATCAGGTTTGTATGTGATTGGAATCGGGAAGGGATGAAGCAATTGAAAGTCATCTAAACATCCAGATCAAAGTAGGTTGCCACATCATGACTGTTGTGAAGGTAGATGAATGATGGACATGTGTGTTTAGCAACTGTTTTCCCTACCTCAGACCACGGACAACCCTGAGTGCTGTGTGCCCCTGTGCCAGCCTTGACCCATTCTGCAGAGTGGTATCCTGGCAGGCTCAAGGTTCCCTTGCTCTTCATGTCATCTCCACCAGTGCTTTCTGCTCTGTCATCTTCCTTCTGGAAGTCTCAGGCTCTTCCTCTGTATGATTGTCAGACTCAGGCACGGTCCCCATCACATCTATGAGAGCCTCACCCTCAGGAGCCTGGCTCCAGAAGGAGAAGCAGGTGGCTTCGACTCTGCAGAGTGTTCATCCAAATCCATGGTCCTGGTTGCCTCACAGTACAGTTTTTTCCACTGCTGCTTTAGAAAGCTGAATTCTCCAGCAGGCAGCCCAAACTTTTCCTAAGCTGGAGTTTGGGTCTGGCAGGGGCTAAGTGGAGAGTTGGGTGGGCAGGCTAAAGGGGTGCTGACAGGAGCGACAGGCAGGGGGCAGCAGCCCTTGAGGCATGGCTGCCTCCCCTCTGTTATGGCTATTTTTGGCTTCCTCTCAATGCCATGTGGCTTCTTTAGGTCCTATGTGATCCAGAAACCATCTCCTTATAGCAGGAGTAACCTGTAGCTACTGACTTAGAAGTTACAGGTGCACAGAGAAAATAGGAGGCAAAGAGGATGGAGGTAGAAGCTGTAATAGGAGAACGTGAGGAGGTGAAGAAGAAGTGTTTCAGTCACTGTCCCAGTCACAATACCTGACACCCATGCTATAAGAGAGGAGATGTTCATTTTGGCTCACACGTTCAGAAGTTTCACACTCAGGTGGTTCCAGTGCACAAACGGCCTGGTAGAATGTCCTGAGCATAGAAAAGCTGCCCATGTAATGGTGGCCAAAAGGCAAAAAGAGAAGGGAGGATCCTAGGAGAATTCAGTTCATGGCCCCAGTGACCCCCCTCCTCTGACCAAACCCTTCTTCTTAATGGCAAGTCAGCTCCGGTGCCCTCAGGATCCAATCACCTTTTCAACCCAGGAGGCTTTTGTGGAGATACCCTAGATCAAAAGGTTAACAAAAGTGATCTCTGTAGATGGACAACTGGGTCAAATTTTCAAGGAGTTCAAGGGAACAGCTTGAGACAAGAAAAGCAAGTGTGCCTGTAACATCCACACTCTGCACAGGTGGCAGGCCCACTGTGCCAAGCTCTTCCTAACTGCTACCTACTCATGGTACCCTGGGTCCCTTTCTAAGTCCCTCCTAGTCCTTCTGCAAATGTCTCTGTGGGTTACTCTGAATTCTATCTTGGGGGCTTTATTGAAAAACACTGGAGAGTCTGTCTCTTGTAAGGGATTCACCTCTCTACTCGACCCCCTTCTGTGGTTCCATTGGACTCTATTCCAAAAGATGGAGGATACTGTCATTTATCAATTTTTAAATCACTTAACAGGGTATGTTGGTTCCAATGTTGTGGTTCCAGTTAGACTCTGCCAGGGCTATGGCATCTCTGGGAGACAGATTCATATTCAGGAGATTCTGATATGAAGTTTCCTATCAGCATATGGCAAAGACAGAGGCAGCAGTCTCACTTCTCAGAGGAAGTGGTTTGGTTCAGCATCGCACATTCTCTGGTGCCCACTGACCGTCAGCCACGGCCTCTCTATGTAGCCCACAGTAGTCTCAGCATTCCCCCTAAACAACCCATTTTGGCACTTTCTAGGAGGGACCAAAATCTAGGTCAGTTGGAGTAGTCAACACAGAGCAGCAGACAGGGATTCATGACTTCCATCCAATGGACAGGGCCAGTTGTCCATTCAGTGGCTTCCATCCAACTCCTGCTGCTGTAATATATTGATCCCAGTCCTGGATGGGCAGCTGATTTGTCTGCCCTTAAGTCCCTTTACCTAATTAATAGCTGTGAAGTGTTCTTGCTGAAATTTCCATCTCTTCCTAGCTCAGAGTCAAGGTATAAGCTTCTAAATGTTATCCAGAAAACACAGTGCTCTTTCTTAGTCCCTGGGCAGCTGTCCATGATTGCTAGAGTGAAAGTCCCCAGGTGTTCCCCAGCTATTGCATTGTTTTAACAAAGTCTTGACATTAATAATGGTCAAAGTAATAGTAAAAATGTAGAATGGAGAGCACTGAGGAGGATATGTTTTAAAACTTAAAAATATATAGTGAAGAAGAAAAACAGACACTGAGAAGAGGAAAGAAAGAAAGATGCAAAAGCAGCAAAATAAAGAAGAAAGGAAGGAAGGAAGGAGAGAAAGAGAGAAGGAAAGACAGAAAGAAAGAAAGAAAGAAAGAAAGAAAGAAAGAAAGAAAGAAAGAAAGAGGGAGGGAGGGAGGAAAGGAAATACAGTTTAAATTCAGTGAATGGGCTGGGGATTTAGCTCAGCTCATAGGCACCTTCCTGGAAAGTGCGAGGTCATGAGTTCGATCCCCAGTACAAAAACATAATAATAAAGTAAATTCAATGAATGGTGGGATGGTGGACTGTGGTAGGGGAGAGGTAGGTGAGTTGGAAGGATGGGGTACCCAGGATTGGGATAAATGATAAAGCCTTCTAATAACAAAGAGGAAATACTTTGAGGGAACAAAGAGGTAGATTGAGCACAGTATGGAACCTTTGCACAATGGGACAAAAATGCATGACACATTTTTATTGAAGGAGCCCAAGTTAAGGGTCAACAATGAGGGAACAAAGAAAATTAATCTCATTATAACAGAAATTAGTGAGAGATCATCAGCAAGTCAGAAGAATGCAAAGAGAATTCTGAAATGCATGAGGCTGATTCCCTGGACCAAAAATCTCTCAGGGAGACCAGGGACAGGACTCTCTTCTGCTAGATATGTGTGGATCTTCTAAATCCAAATCATACTAGAAAATAATACCCCCCAAATTACCCTCTTGGCAGATCCACAATGATGATGTGGCAATGGTCCTCACAATGTATACAGACTCAATGATAACAATAGCAGACTGGAGCACAAAGCCCACCGGGGACTTGCCTGGTTTGCCTGGGCAGCCCCCAACTCACGAGGCAGCGTCTCTGTCCAGAACTTCAGCCTATTAGCCTTCAGGGCACGGCCCACGGAAGGTGAGAGATTCAGCTGCAGGTACTGCTCCTCATCATCCAATAGAGGCCAGTAGGGCAGGTCCTCACCACTGGGGTTCCTGTGGACACATTCAGGTCTTAGTGCCTGATTTCAATTAACCTAGGCAGCCATGCAGGTCTGAGGACCATGATGAGGAAGGTTCCAGATACAGGTAAAAGAAGACTTTCCATTGGAATGCCCTTCACATGAGCAGGTCACCTCAATCAATTTTCTTCCTTCCTCTTAGACTCAGACTGGACTGTACCCTGTGGCCTCCCTTCCAGATCAGCAAGAAGAGAATGAGTGACTTTTCTAAGAAAAACAATCCCTGTTTATGACTTTATGGGTGCTCCAGTTGGGAAGCTGTTAGCATATAATTTAGGACTATATTTGCTAATGAGGACAACACAGACACAAGAAGCCCCTGAGAGGTTCAAGTCCCCTGGGGAGATTGATGTAGGGGCATCATCTCACCCATTTTTGGCAAAGTTGGCCCAATACTTCATCATCCTCCTGCTCAACAGCTTTTCCTCCTCGGTGAACTTATCTGCAGAGAGGAAGAGGACAGGGGTCTGCTGTCCAGTGGTTACTTATCCTGTTGCTCTTAATGTACCACACTCATCACCCAGTTCCTTGACCCTTTAACCAAGAGCCTGGTGCACATCACTCCCAAATAGCATGTAGCAGGCCCTCCACTGACCCAACATGTCCTTCCAAACGTCAGCATCTGCCAGCTGAAATGACCCCAGGGTCATTCCTGCCCTTCTTACTTCTGACATGGGAGAGTCATTCAAGCAATAGCTATGACTTTGAAACTTCTCCAATCCTGTGTACTCATGCTGGACACCATGGTCTGGCAGTTGGAAGAAAGAAAACAGGTTGGAGTGAAAGGGTTTTGATTCTAAGCTCAACGTAAGTTTTTGAGCTCTAAGATGGTAGATGTGATATCATCTCTTTGAGCCTCAGCTTCCTCATGTAGACAATAACAGCTGTAACTCCTCAAGGACCCAAGCAAACTGCCACCTCTGTTTATAACATTCAGGGATTATTCACCTTCGGTGAGCATCATGAAAGATCCAAATATAAAGAATATCTCATCACCATGGTCAGCCTTTACATAGGATGGTCTGATGTTTTTGAAGAAGCTTGGAGGATACTGGAATTCATAGAAGTAGACAGTGCCATGGGAACCTGGAGAGTGGAGAGGTTGTGACTTGTTGATTCATTACCTTGGAGCTCTCCTGCCTCATCCTTAGTGATAAGAGAGCTGGGCCCAAAACTAGGATCAATTTGGAAGCAATAAAGCAGGGTACAGAAACCTAGGCAGGAGCAAAGGTGTGGAAAGGGCCTTGGACCACCCAATTGAGTAGTTTGGGCAAATAACTATGTGCTACTTTCCTCAGTCCCCTCACCTGTACAGTTATTAGAGACAGCTGAGTTAGATAGAAACTAATAAGCAGTCTGAGAGGCTCTCAAGAGAGTCAGTGTGGAATATGAGACTTCTACATTAAATATGTGGTTGAAGGTAAATGTGAAGAAACCCAGGCCTCAAGATAAAGATTTGATGGGCAGGTCAGCAACTCTCCCTAGAGATCAGTAGCAGTTTTGGATTACAGTATAATTAGCATCACCTGGTCTGGTGAGCGCAGGAAGCTCATCAGACACATAGGTGGATGACCAAAAAAAAAAAAAAAAAAAAAAAAAAAAAAAAAAAAGATCTGGACTCACATACCTATTCCGTTTCAGGAATACCTTTCTTCTTTCTATGTTAGGTAAGCTAAAGTTAATGATGCTCAACACACATCTTTGTTATGTGTGATTCATCCTTTTGGATCAATATTAGCTCATAGTGACTATCATATTATTACCCCATAGGTTTATTTTAGTTTGACCCATAACTACTCATGATGAGATTTTGCTGCATAAAGTATCCTTTGACAAACAAACTCAGTGGCAACTCACATTCAGGACCCCTTATGTCTCCCAGAAGTTTCTCTCAATAAATATTTCTTACTCTTAACTTCTTTCCTCAAAATTCATTCTTCACTATCAGAAGACACGAAAGTGCATATAGCTGGCAAATTACAGGTTGAGATTTATTTTTGCTGTAGTCCTGTGATTAAGATATCTGTCCCTTACACTTGCAATGAGAAATGTTTTTTATTAGTGCATTTAGTTATATGGATTATTAGGTTTCATTTTGGCATTTTCATACATATACAAAACATACTTTGTTGACTTCCCACCAATTGTGCCTGTCAAATTTTTCTTCCCTGATATGTGATTACCTTAATATTCTCTACTAGTCATCCTTATACTTTCAGCAGAATTTTTTTAGTCGAGGGACATCAAATACATGACAATCATGTCTCATTTACAGATGTACTCACGCTGAAAATGTGCTATTTGGAGTGCAGGCATCACGAAGATGAAGTCCCCAATCATCTCATGGAACTGGATTTTCAGGGTCTGGGGGTCCTCGTTGTCTCCCATGTACTCTTCCATCACCAAGTCTCCAAACTTAGAAGGCAGATTCTAGACCAGGAGAAGCATGGAGAGCCAGGTTAGGCAGATTTCAGGACAGGAGTGGACAGTAGTTCAAGGTGGGACAACAGGGCTTGAAATAGAACTAAAATTGTAACATATAGTCAACCTCTGAGGTAACCCCATCCAGAGATACAGACATTCATAGTTCTGCCTTTCTTTTGGGGGTGGTTATATGGAGAGGAAAGCAGAGGGGCGATATCCATTGGAACAGGAACCCAGGAGCCTCACCATCTCTGCTGACATGGTCTGCAGAACAGTCTTTAGGGTTGCTCTATCCATGTCCTGCAGGCCTGGGGAACACTGCATCTGGGTGTAGGAGGGATGAATTATGAGGCCTAGTGACAGATAAGCCTGCATCTGAAGTTCCAGCCTAACTGTACTCCCCAAACTAACATGAGAACTCACCATGGGGAGACCCCAGCCATACTCATCATTAGTGATACCAATGATGCTGGGAACAGGTCGAAAATCAGCAGAGGCGAGCAGTTCCTGTGGGTGTCTGGGCAGGAAAACCCCATCTACTACACCAGCAATGATCTCAAAGGTCTGAAGAAGCATTAAATTTCAGTGATTTAGGTCATATCTTACACAGTTTCTAATGCTCATTGAGTTACTTGCACTCTTTGCTAACTCACCCTAGAATGCTCATGCCCACCCCATGATAATCTCCACTAGGTGTGACAGATGAAGGCCCTTATTTCCCATCAGATTCATTAGCACACTAAGGCATGCAAAAAAGGTAATCATTCCAGAGCAGTAGGGGTTGTCTCTCCTACCCATGACCAGTCCTCTTCTGCAGAACCCAAGAACACTCAGCCTGACCTTGGCAATGGCCAGCATTTCGTCTTCACTCTTGCCTCGCAGGCACCTCACCAGAGTTTCTGAGTCTACCTGCCCACAGCCAGACAGGTTGGCCACCTTCTGTAAATGGATTAGAGAGAGCTGGTTCATACTCTCTGGCATGGAAAGAGGGGCCCAAGGAACATGTTGAGTTCAAATGACCCTGCAAATTTCCAAGAATATCATACATAGATGTCTGCAGGTGTGAAATTGTTCCAGTTTCTCTTTTTCTTAGAGTTCCCAGCTAGAAGGATCATTCTACTTGCTTAAATGGTTTTGAGAGTGATGAGTGGCTTGGGGTTTTCTCAGTCACAGAATGTACCCAGCCTCTCTGAGGCAGAGGTGTGTGGATTCTGATCCTTGGAAACTCACCAATTCCCAGAAAATCAACAGTTCTCAGGGCACCTTAATTTCCCTTCTGCCCCCTGCACAGACAGAGCATCATCAGCTCTGAAGGTGAAGGGAGAGGCTGGGGTTTTTGAGCAACTCACCTCAGTGACAGCCTTAGAGGAGTTGGTGAACAGGCCGGGTGCTACAGCTGTCCCACTCTCCATGATGGCACCACGAAACAGTCCTTGGGACAATGGGGACACGACGAGGGAAGACACACTTGTGCCACCAGCAGACTGGCCAAAAATGGTGACATGGTCAGGGTTACCTCCAAAGTGGAAGATATTCTGTTGTACCCAGCGTAGGGCGGCCACTTGGTCCAGGTAGCCCCAGTTGCCAGTGGCATGCTGGTCTCCAGTGCTGAGAATTATCAAGGACAATGCTTACATCCAAGTCCTGGCTCTGCTCACTTCCCATTTCCTAAGTCAAACTCAGGCTCACCTGAAGAAGCCTAGGACACCCAGACGGTACTGGATAGTGACAACTATCACGTCCTCAGAAGCAACCAGTTTGGATCCATCAAACTCGGAAGCTGAACCTCCAATTAATGCACCTCCGTGTATCCATACCATCACCTGGAGAAATAAAGACACACGCCATATTGTTCTCACCCAGCTCACATTCATGTCACTTACCCACAGACTGTCCATTGCTTTGATTCCCTGTAGCTACCCACACAGACTTTGGCCTGATAGAGCTTCATCATCTGGGCAAAGGGTTATGGTGCTAGCTTCAGTTCATTAGATCAGGATTCTCAGACTTTACCATTTATCTCACAAAGGCAAGTCTTCTGTCTATTACTTTCAGTCTGCTCCAAAATAGAAAGAAAATGATCTTCCTCTGACTTTTCCAACTGAAAATATTAATCAAAAGTGTTATCTAACCAAACTGGCATGGCATATACACAATGGCAGAAGTGTTGAGGGATATCAAGCTACAACTCTTGGGCATAAAAAAGATCTCTTGTGGACACAAATCTGTGCTTTCTGGCATCAGCTAGGGGTCCATGGTTCACTACCCAGTGGTCAGTCTCCCAGCATGGGTGAGAAGGCCTTCTTGGAACCCACAGAGAAAGGCTGTTAACCAGCCTTCTCTACACTGTAGCAGAGCCCAAGCTGATCCTCCTCCTTCTAATCTTTTTCTCCTGGAGTGTTTGTAGGGTTGGGAGTTTGGACTTGGAGCCTTGCAGTTGCTGGATAAATGGTGCACCATTGAATACATCCTCACTTCTGCTCTCAGAGAAAAAATGTCTGACCACCCAGGAGCTCTGCATGGTTTGACACTCACTGGCAGATTAGAACCCTCACTGGCATAGGCAGGTGTGTAGATGTTGAGGTACAAGCAGTCCTCGGATATTGGGATGGGAGGCAGGTTCTGAGTGAACAGCATCAGAGCTCCTGCATTCATTATATCATTTTGAAGACACCTGGTCAAAAAGGAAAACGAATAGTTCAGAGAATATGCAGTGACCAGAACCAAACTCTAGAGCTGATTTGCTGCTATCTACTGTCAATATCCTCTTTTCCCTGATGCCCAGTGTAATGGTTGATTTTGTCCACTTGAGAAGTTTAAAAGCTTAACTAAGTCAGTTCAGCAGTTCTACACCCTATGTGGAGAGAATCCACCCTAGGGTGGATCATTGCCAGGATGGTATAAAGGGGAAATGAGGAAGGATAGACTCATTTCTGTTCTTCAAAGGAGGCTCCAGTCTTCACCTTCAGCTTGGATGTCATCTCCCAGCCTCTAGAGCAGGCTATGGTTTTTACCTCACCTCCTTCAGCCTTCCAGAACAGATTCTTTGGCTTCCTATTATAGACCCTTGACCTCCTGATATGAACTTGCACAGGACACTACAGTGGACTCCAGACTTTGGACTGCTGAAACATTTATTCTCCAGGGTATACACACCCTCTGGACTCTTCCTCACCCAACTCTGTGGCTGACCATTGTAAACCAATCGTGTAATTTCTTTTACATTTCTGTATATTCTGCTACGTCTATTTCTCCAGTAAACACTGCCTGGTACACCCTGACATACATGATCCTTCTTTCAAGTCCCTGTTCTTTAAGACATAGGCCTCAGGAAGGATTGTCATGATGAAACTGATATTTCAAAGGAGTTCCCCAGGTTGATGAGCTCCTTGGAATCTAGTTCTCCTGAGGATGGAAAATCATCACTATTAGGTATCTCCAAGGGGATTGACTGTAGCTGTTGATATTTGCCTTTTTTCCCTATAGCTGTGTGATTCTAGAATAGGCAAAGATCTCCCACATAGGTGCTGTACATGGGAATACAGAGTGCGTTTCCAAAGAAGAGTGGTAGTGTGTACTGCCCAAACAACACAGATAGGGAAACACACCTTCCACAGAGTCTCCACTTGAAACAACACAAAATTGTTCCTGGGAGAAGGGCATGTGGACCTCCCAACAGGCACAGTGAATCTGGATGGTAGATGCTCTAATAATCATTACTGGAGCCCCCACTCAAACCTCTATAGCATCTGATGCATTAGTCAAAGTTGCTACAGAGTTCATGGAGCCAACTCAAGCCAGGCCCACAATCTCCTCATCTTATGGCACAGACCACTATGCATCATGCAAATCTGAGCAGAGCCATGTGTCTAACTCATTTTTTAGACCTACGTTAATGTTCATCCCCTCAGCCAGGATCTGTCAACATTTCTTCACCCTTTTAAACCACACACACTCATTTGGGAAGCTCCACAATGCAGATTAAATGGGGTTTAGATATAGCACTCACTGGAGGCGGGCCATGTGCTCAGACCTCCTGAGCTTCCCCCAGGGCCAGAGTTCCCCAGATCCACAGATGAATTACCTGGCAGGATAGGAAGTTCCATTCCTTACACCATTCCAGGGTTCTGGGGACTCTGGAGGTGCAAAGCGCAGCAGTCCTACAGGTGGCTTTGCAAAGGGAATTCCCAGGAAGATGTAGACTCCCACGTTGCTATCATTCACATGCAGGAGTCTGCCCTGGACCTGTCCTGTATGTGTGGTCCGGATGGGGCTGGCAGAGTCCTGGGCTGTGGGCAGAGAAATGCACATCAGTGTTGGGTCTTCTCAGTCAGCTCCTCCCACACTTTCACAGAAGGACTGAGATAGAACCCAGCTGTCATAGTCCTGATTTAAAATAGAGGACTGGCCTATGGTGTTAGATAATGTTTCTTGCTCTCCACAGGAGACAAGTGCCAGGTGTCTGCTGAGCCCAGAATTTCTCTGTGCCTCAGAGTATAATATGATGTCCATCAGTTCCCCAGGGTTCCCCTGTTGTTGTCCTTTCCATCAGCTGCCACCTGCTTGCTACACCCTCCTGCTGGTTCACATTTACCTCTGCAAAATGTGTCAGACATGGATGAAATTTCTGAAGAAAACTTTAAACATGACAAACCTCCTGGGGAGCTAAAGCTTCCCCCTCTGTCTGGTCCCCATGGGTCAGCACATCTGATGGCAACTTGTGCAGATGTAGACAGGGCAGCAGCTAGTCACAGGGACCAGACAAAACATTTTCCCATTTAAGGGATGCTCTTCTCCCTGTCTACAACTGATGCTTTGTCAGCTGGCATCTCTGTCCAGATAATGGACCAAAGGCTCTGATCCTTGGTGATCTCTGACCACCACCACTGATGCTTGATGTTTGTTACAGCACAGGACAAACCTTTTGCAGTGTGCCTGTTGGAAACATAGGCACCTCCACAATGCCTCATTGAGGAAGAGAAATCCCTCCCTTGGAGTAGTGTTATGTGTCCACGTCAGCAGGGGAAAAACCCAGGACCGAAAGAGCAGAGTTTGTGACCTTTTTGGTGAAAAGCAAGGAGATGTGCCCACATCTATTCTTAGGCAGAGCCCTGGGCCCAGAATGGAAGACCCTGTAACCTTCATGGTCCCTTTAAAGACCCATGCTTATATGGGATGTACCTGGGCATTTCTGGACCCTCTTGTGGATCCTCAGTAATACTGACCAAAGTCTAAGCCAAACACTATTGAAATGGAAATGATCAGTGATTTTGGGCAGATCCTCCTGCCTAGAAGTCCTTGTGCCAGGAGAAGGAAGGAAAGAAAGCCTGGCCTGGGGTGCCAAAGGGGAGAAACAGTGCACCCATCCTGGTCAGATTGCACTGGTGAAAGGTGGGGGAGATCTTTAGACTCTCCCACACCTGGAGCCTTCTGGTGAGACGGTCAAAGGCTGCAGACACACCCTTCACATGGAGCTCTCCTAACATCAACTCCTGGGAAGTGTTCTGAGAGTCCATGGCCAGAATAGAGCACATCATCTTTGCCTTGCAGCTGATCATGTCTTGGCCCCAGCTTATGTGCATGGGTGAAGGGACCTAATGGTTCTTCAAATCAGCTATGGGGCCATTTGTGTCTCCAAGACTGGTTAACTTGCCTGGACACCACTGAAAAATGAAAGAGCACATTTAAGGTTAAGAAGGTGACCATGCTCTGATAGTAGTTAAACGTGGATGATGTGTACATAGTGTTTGTTATCCTTCTGAACCTCAGACCAGGGCTCTGCATCTGTGGGTCTCCACTGATCATTTTGGGTTCTCAGGGTGCAGGGAGATAGCCAGTCAGGCCAACACACCTTACATTTATCTTCCCCGAAGATGGAACCACCTTGGTCCCAACCTGCTGCTGTCACAGTTTCTTGCTCTGCAGAATGTGGCACATCTTAGCCATATTTCATATGAAAGAGCTTAACACCCCAAAACTTCATGGGAAGGAAATACTCCCTTATCCCATCAGATCCATTTGAGCCAAGTCTAATGATCTTGATGCAGATGGGAACAGCAAGCAGCCACTCACAGGCCATACCAGGCCGGTTTAGCCCATTGTTCCTCATCTAAAGAGGCACTTCTCTGCCAGCTTACACATGATGCCTTGCCAACGGACACATTGAATGCTCTGTGGCCACCACACACTGATGCCTGGTGCATGTTGAGCACAAGATAAAGCCTAGTGCAATGTGCCTGCTGGGAGACAGAGTACATCTGCAACGCTGCATCCTGGAAGAGGACAATGTTTCTGGTAGTGGTGTGAGGTTCCCCCACTTCAGGAAAGGAGAAACCCAAAGCCAAGAAGGGCAGAAGTGGTGACCATTTAGGTGGAAACCAAGAAGTGTACATCAGTATACTTAGGCAGTCTTGGACACAATGTGGAAGACATCACAACCTCAATGGTCCTGTTGAGAGCCAACGTTTAAATGAGACAGATAAGAGTGGGCCCCAGCCCAGCACTCTCTTATGGCTGCTCATTGATACTGAATGAACATAAATCCCAGTCAAAGATGTAAAAAGAAGCTATGGGTGAGATGGGGCAGATCTTCTTGCCTAGAATCGCTAGTATCTTCCAAAGGCAGGGTCACAGATGGTAAGGGAGGAAGCTGGGCAGAGTGATCATCTGGGTGAGGTACTGAGGATTCCTTTGGAGCAGGTCACATTGGGAAAGGGTGGGAGAGATCGTCAGATCCCACACCAGGAGTCTTTGGGTCAGATGGTCAAAGGCTAAAAACACATTCTGCACACAGATCCCTCCCAACATCAGCTTCTGATAAGGGGCCTAAGACTACCTGACTCTGATAGATCAGACCACCTTTGCCCTGGCAGCCAATTGATGTTTTTGCCCCATATCAGGAGCACAGGGTGAAGGAACTCAGGAACATCTCAGCTCAGCTTTGGCATGGAATGCCCAAGGGCTTCTCTGTCCCTTGAAATCTGTTAGTTTGAGTTGTAGAATGGTAGAGCATTTTTCTTGCTAAGAGGATGTCACACTCAGAGACAAATGGCAGTGAAAAGTTACTGCATTCATTATTGTTACATGCGAGGGCCAGGAGCAGGTATAGCCACAGCCACAGCCATAACCACAGCCAGTGTTGAATCACGGTTCACATAAGCTCGCACGTTCGCGCGCGCACACACACACACACACACACACACACTGGAAATGTCCTGAATCCCACCCATCTCCAAAACCATCATGCTTCCCACCTGCCACGTATGTTCCTTAGCCATCCTCAGATTGGACTTCTCTTTGGTGTTTGGTGTCCCTAGGTAATCCTGATCTTCGCTACACTTCCAGAGCCCATCTTGAGGCCTTGGTTTGGGGCCTTTTGTGAGCCCACCTGCCACTCTGGCATCTGCCATCTCCACCAACACCTCCCTCCCAGGCACTTCTCTCCCACCTCATTCCCTCCCACTCTGTGTTCTCAGTGTCTGTTACTGCAGTACTTGGCATCTTCTGTAAGAGCCTCACCTTGGCCTGGATGGAGAAGTAAGAGCCCAGAGGCTATAGTGCTGAGCAGGGTAAGAAGGTGGTCCAGCTGCATCATCAGGTTGCCTGGGTTTTCTTTATTGCTGGAGGCTGCATTCACTCACAAGAAGCCTAAGAAAGGAGTCCTGCCCATGGTGGAGTTTGAACCCAGCAGGGAGGAGGCGGAGCATCTGGTGGGCCAGGCCAGGTGGTTACTGCAGGAGAAGCACTGATTGGGCAGAGGTTATCTAGAGCCAGTGGCCAGCATGCAAGGCATGACCATCTCCCTTCAGCCTGAACCATTAAAATCATTTTTGTATTAGAATATATTCGCCCTTCATAATGAGCATATTCATCATTTTGTACTTATATTTAATATGTCTTTTTGGTTTTTCTTTTAATTCTCTTCCACTCCATTCATGCTTTCTTCCTCCCCCCATTTATCACAGCTTTATTTGCATCTTCTGGGAGTGTTCATCAGGAATCAAACTCAGGGCCTCTTACATGCCGTGTATTTGCAGTGTTCCTTGCATTCTCCTTTTCACTGTTTTTCTTCCTTTGATTCAGCCTCTTCCCTCTCTTCTTCCCTTTCCCAGTCAGACATCCTCTTCCTACTTCCCAATATCTATCCTGCATTTTGCTTTTTAGTTATGCTTTAAGTTTCTCACACAAGAGAAACAATTCAACATTTAAACTTGTCTGTCTGATTTATTTCACTTAAAGTGATAGTCTCATTTGCAAACTTTTTCCTAAAAAGTTTCAAGTGTATATTTTTACTGCATAATAAACACCACACTTCCTTTATGCACTTATTTGTTGATTGGCATATGGGCTGCTTTCACCATTTAGCTATTATACATTGTGTTTCTCTAAATATGAGTATGCATATTTCACTGAGATGATGCTTTTATCTCTTTCAGAAAGATATTTCAAAGGGGAAAAACTGAGTCAAATGGAACATCTAGCTTTAATTTTTGGATGAATTGTACTAGTTTACACTTCCAACAACGATGGACAAGGGCTCCTTTTCTCCATAGCCTTGCCAGCCTTTTAATTGTTTGATTTCGAGGTGGTGATCATTCTTTCTGGAGTAAGATGGAATCCTAGCTTGGTTTTAATTTGCATTTTTAGAATGATTAATGCTGCAGAACTTTTTTCATTCATCTAAGAAGTGTCTATTCATTTCGGAATCCCATTTTTGGATTGGGTTTTTAAATGAGGGGGATCTTAAATTTTTACTTCTTCATAGACTTGATATATTAGTCCTTTGTAGCTAGTAAACATTCTTTCTTTTTCTCTGGCCTATTTCTTTACTCTATTGATATTTTTCTCTGCTTGTACAAGCTTTTTAAATTGTATGCAATTTCCGTGGTTGATTCTTTGTAATTTTTCCTGTGCAATCTGGATTTTGTTTCTTAACAAAATTTGCCTACTCCTGTGTCTATCAGAGTTTTCTCTATTTTAACTTCCAGCAGATTCAGTGCTTCTGCTTTAATATTTAGATCTTGTTCCATTTTGATTTTACTTTGGCACATGATGAGCAATATGGAACTAGGTTTGATCTTTGGCATGTGGAAATACATTTTTCCCAGCACCATTTACAAAAGGATATCTTATGGGGCTGGGGATTTAGCTCAGCGGCATCAGCGCCTGCCTTGCAAAAAGGCAGTCGTGAGTTCGATCCCCGGTACCGATAAAAAGGAAAAAGACAAAAAAAAAAAGATATCTTACAATGGAAGTGTTTGCCCTCTTTGCCAAAGTTAAGGTAAGCGAGTGTGCTTGGAATTGTTTCTGCATCTTCTATTGTTTCATTGATCTACAGGTCTGGTTTTTTGGCAGTACCGTGCTGTTTTTATTCTAAGAGCTTTGTAATATAACATTAGATTTCAGATAGTGATGCTTGGGTTAGGGTTAAATCCAGCATTATAGCTGGATACAAAGTCAACACTCAAAAATCAATAGCATTCCTGTACACAAACAAAAATCTCCATGAAAGAGAACTTACGGGAATATCGCCTTTCACGATAGCATCTAAAAAATGAAATACTTAGGAATTGTCATGGTTTATGTTTGTGTCCCCCAGGCCTCATGAGTTTGAATTGTGTATTTGTTATTCGTTCATTGTATAGTGCTTGGATTGATGGTGTCAGTGCTCCACCCACAGAGGGGTGGAGCCAGGATGTGATGTAATGGCAGGAAGAAGGTGTGTCTTGCTCTTTTTGCTGGTTCGAGCTTGCTGTCGGTGGCTGCCATGAACTGCGGTCCAGCCATGCCCGCCTGTCTTGGAGCCAACTGAGTGTGGACTGAAACCTCCAAAAACTGTAAGAAATAAACCTTTCCTTTCCCAACTTTGGGCTTCAGGTATTTTGTCTCAGTGACAAGTAAAAAGTAACTAATACAGGAGTCAACTTAACCAAGAGTGTAAAAGACCTATATGCTGAAAATTATACTACTCTAAAAAAGGATATGGAAGAGGATATTAGAAAATGGAAAGGTATTCCTTGCCTTTGGTTAGGAAGAACCAACATTGTGAGAATGGTCATACTCCCAAAACTGCTATACAGATTCAATGCAATCCCAATCAAAATACCATTAACATACCTTACAGATCTGCAGAAAATATTCCTAAAATTCATCTGGAAACAGAAGAAATGTAGAATAGCAAAGGTGATTCTGGGCAACAAAGGCAAGACAGGAGGCATCTCAATTCCTGACTTGAAACTATACTACAAAGCCACAGTAATAAAGTCAGCAAGGTACTGGCAAAGAAACAGACCTGAGGATCAATGGAACACATTGGAAGATGAAAATACTACTATAAAGACACTCAGCCACCTTATATTTGGCAAAGGGGCTAAATACATTCACTGGACAAAAGATAGCCTCTTTAATAAATGGTGTTGGATAAACTGGCTTTCCACATGTTGAAGACTGGAAATAGACCCATGCCTATCACCATACACAAAACTAAAATCAAAATGGATCAAGGATCTAAATATTAAAAGAGAAACACTAAATCTACTAGAGGACAAGGTAGGTAGAAATCTTGGGGACATAGGGGTAGGCAGAGAATTCATGAATAAAATGCAAATGGCACCAAAAATACTTCAAAGAATCAACAACTAGGATCTCATATTACTAAAAAGTTTTTGCACTTCAAAAGAAATCACCAACAAAGTGAAAAGAAAACCCGCAGAATGGGAAAGAATTTTAGCCAATAATCCCTCAGACAAAGGACTTATATCCAGAGCATATAAAGAACTGAAAAACATCAAGCTCCCAAATTTAAAGACCCTCTCCAAAAATGGGCATCGGAGATGAACACACAGTTCTTAGATGAAGATATGCAAATGGCAAATAAATATATGAAGAAATGTTTACCATCACTGGTCATTCAAGAAATGCAAATTAAAACAACATTGAGATTTCATCTCACCCCAGAAAGAATGGCTGCCATCAACAAAACAACTGATAACAAATGTTGGTGAGGCTGCAGGGAAAAAAGGAACACAGCTCCACTGTTGGTGGGAGTACAGACTGGTGCAGCCACTGTGGAAATCAGTGTGAGGTTCCTCAAAAAACTAGGATGGGAAGTTCCATTCAATCTAGCTATTTCCCTCCTGGATATTTTCCCAGAAAAATTGAAAAGGTCATATCACAGTGATATATGTGCACCCATGTTCATAGCAGCACAATTTGTGATAGCTAAATCTTGGAAACAACCAAAATGCCCATCAACCAGAGAGTGCATGAAAATAATGTGGTATTTTATACAGTGGAATACTACTCAGCTATAAAAAGGATGATCTTGAGGCATTTATAGGTTAATGGAGACAACTTGAGAATACTCTCATTAGTAAAATAAACAAGACTCACATTAGTAAATATCACATTGTCTCTCTCGTGCAAAACTAATAAAAACTGACAGAGTAAGGGGATCCAAAAACATTCTCCAGTAGCCTTCCCAAACTGCAGACAATAAAGGCTTTTCTTATCTCTGTCTTTGTCTCTCAACAACAACAAAACTATCATTTTAGTGCCCCTGCTTAGATTGGTTGAGGTGTGCAGCTACTGGGGGTGCTTCCTGTTTGAGCTCCTCCTGCCAAAGAATAGACCATTTCAGGCTCTGCTGGGCAAAAGACAGTTTTGCAAGACATGCAGGTCCCAAGACCTAGAGTTTAGCTTGCTTTTTGTCCCCTGTTGTCAGCAAACACCAGTCCACTCTGCTTCTCACAGGTGAGTCATTCCTCATTCTAGGATCACTTGTAACATTCTCTCTCTCTCTCTCTCTCTCTCTCTCTCTCTCTCTCTCTCTCTCTGAACTATTGAGAGCCCCACATCAAAACTCACTCATATCTTTGGGAATACATCCTCTGGTTGATGACCTATGGGCAGCAACAGGACATCTCTCTCTGTCATGATTTTCCTTGGAGGTTATGACTGGCTTTGGCCTTTGGCCTACCACCAATTTGATTGCTGTGGGGACACATTTTGGGGCAGTATTTAAATAGATTAACATACTCAGACATGTTGGAGGACTGCAAACTCAAGGACCATCCTTAAGCCATATAGTCATAGGCAGGGCACAGTCATTTTTGGGTTCAACAATTGGGATCTAGATGGGGATGAAAGGAGGACTATGAAAAAAAAAAAAAAGGCAGAGCAAAATAACGGCTGCCACAGTAGGCAGTGCTTTAACCACATACAAGACATCCAAGGAGAAAATCCAAGGCCAGTCAGGGAAAAAGTTCTTGTTCTAAATGCAAGGAAACTGGACATTGTGTGTACAACTATACCAGGTCACCGCTCGACACTGCTGCATGTGTCAAGTGGCTGATGTCCCTGACTCATGACACTGAAGGATTGAACTGTCTCCTCTTTGAGAGATGAGACAGGGCCAGCCAAAACCCCTATCTCCTGCTCTCATAAGAGGAACTGAAGGGGCCTAGGGCACTTGGCAATGCCTCTGCCCATTTTTGCCTCAAAGAGCCCCAAGTGACGAAGAATACTGTGGATAAAAATTCCAGTTTCTCATACATACAACAGTCACTTACTCTCACCTCTTCTGTGAAAGGTTCTTTTCCAGACATACAGTTATACATAGGGGCCAGGAGACCTCCAGCTGAAGCTT